TAGCAATCACTCCTGTGTTCATTCATGCCTGAAGCACAGTAGACAGTGCTTACTATGTCTTTCAGTTTTAGTTTTGTGAATAAATAGAAAGTCTCTGTACAGAGTGCTTCTTGTTCATTCATTGAGTGCAGCTGCGGTTGCGGAGGAGAATGAAGACTCAAAATTGAAACATCCTTGTTCCTGATATCTCACCAGAGCCTCCCCCCACTAACAGGACTTTAAAGAAAATAGAAAAGGTAAAAAATATAAAAAAAAAAAAAAAAAAAAAGAACTACAACCAAAAAAATAAAGTCTCATTTACACACAGAGCATATTTCTGTGCTCGGAGTCATATGTGTTTACGTGCAGCAATGAACAGCAGCCTGTACACATCAATGAAAGGCTTACAGATATAGTGGCTATGTGCATTTAACTGCAAATCCTGGATGCAAACTGGGCTGCTCATGCACCCCTATATACACATGCCCTCAGCTGTACACAACCAGAAATATGCTCCTTTTTGACGCTGTACAGACCATGTGAATGAGGCCTAAAATTATTATTATTAATATAAATGCTTCTATATACACACACACCACACATACCATAACATACTGGTAATGCATGTTACATAGGTATGAATCCAACCTCCAGATTTTTAGCATACGTTTATGTTTACAGTTTTGCACGCCTTCAGTTTTTACCCTCTTTCAAAAAGGCAGAATTTAAAATTGACAAATATGTTTTATATATTAACCTGATATCCTTTTTATCTTTTAGATTTAGTAGGAATTTAGTTGGAATTGTATAAGCTATGTTGTGTTTTGTGAGAGCTAATAATAACTTCAATATATTTTTTGTCAAAAATATTGTTTGATAAACATTTGCATAACTATCATGGTACCTACAAAAAATCTGTAGCACCATCTTTTCATTCCATGCTTTTAGAATACTGTATGTTTAGGGGTGGTTTCTTACAAACTTTGAAAGCTGAAAGTAAAAGGTAAAAAATTGCAAAAATGGTCAGGCCACCTGAGGTTAAAGTAGAGCACAGGACCTTGCAATGAAAAGGGTAATAAGAAGCTACTATGCAACAACCACGCAGTTATTAATAGACAGGAGTGAGGAGTAAAGTCAGTGGTATAAATTGCAGGCTACTATCAACAATAAGGATTGATATGAAAACCCTAAATGTATATGGGTGTTTGCAGCACCCAAAAAAAAAAAAAATTTAAATAAAAGAAAAAAAAATTATATATATATGTGTGTTTTTTAAACATCCAATACATATGAATCCCTAATCAATCCACAGTGCATGTGTCTAAATGAATATTACAACTAAAAAAGCCAGATACATATGTACGCATGCTCAAAAATCTGAAATACATGTGATGTGTTAAGAAACAAGTGCCAAACAGAAAAGTCTATCCAAGTGCTGAAAACACAAGCAACGAAGATGTTATCCACCACCAAATCAGATCCGCAGCTATTTTTCCAATGTGTGGTCCCTCACCACCACCTCGTGAATTGCACACTCACCAAGTGCAGCAACAACAGCCTGATTGCTGTGAATGGATCACTTGCTGTCTAAGCCATGTAACAAGTTCACCATCTCTGTCCTTTTCCTCACAGCTGGGCTGTGATAGCACAGTGCACCCTCCAGCTGCTAATCCTCGCAAGCTCTGTGAATCAGCTGGACAATATAATGTAATGGTGTATATCGAAGGTTCAAACAAGGCTTAGCAGATCCATGATATATACCATTACATCATGTCATTATTCTGAAACTGTAAGGTTGCATGGCTTGGCTCCCAGTATGAGGTTCACTAGATACACTAAGGTTACACAAACTCTACGTTCACCCAGTTGAATTAATTACAGGTGCAGTCTTCATAAATCTCCCCATACATGTTCAGATAAATCACATAATTGGATTGTGGCAGAATTAGCTATGTCAAACTCTGTCCCCAGCAAGTTCACATAGATTGAGGTACATTAGATACATAGTACAGCCCATGCCTGAGTTAAAAATGTTCGTAGTATCAACATCCATAGTCACTGGAATCCCTAAGCTGGGCCTATTTAAGGGAGTTAGTGACAGTAGAGACTAAATCACTTTACCTTTTCATAAACAATTTTTGTTTTCACTTGAAATGTGCCTTTGAACTTGATTGGAAACCGGACCACACCAGTAATGATTCTCTAGCACAGCCCCTCATATCTTGCACATCATAGCTCTTTTCTCTTCTGGGAGTGCTGGACTAATCTATGGTAGTGCAAAGATCATGGAAAAGTGTGTTGTAGCACCATGGTTCGTACTGTCAGGGTGAAACAAACACTTCACAAAGTAACTGCCTAAATAAACAATATTTTTGACTTTTTGCTATTAAACATGTCCAGTAAAAAAATAAAAAAAATCTAATTTTGTCATAAATTTAGGCCAAAGTGTACTCGGCTAAATGTCTTTGCTAAAAAAATCCCTATACATGTAAATTAATTGGTTTATGTGACAGTTATAGTGTCTACAAATGGCGACATAGATACTGGAATTTTTTTTTGTATATATACTAGTAATGGTGGCGATCAGTGACCTATAGCGGTACTGTGGCACACATTCCGACATTGAAGGGGAACTGACTAACTGTCACTGACATCTCCAGTGACACCAATACAGTGATCAGTGCTAATAAAATGTACTGACACTGTACTAATAACATTGGGCAGGAAGGGGTTAACATCTAGGGCGATCAAAGGGTTAACTGTGTGCTGTGTGTAAGCACACTGCTTTGTATTGCTATGCAGAGCAATACAAAGCAATGTGCAGGAGCTAACAGGGGAGAGATCTGTATTGTTTGAGGCAGCCAATAGGCAGCGCAGGTAAGGCATGCATGCGGCTCGCGCACGCCCCCAACCCAAAAATGCTAAATCACGTACATATACGTGATTTTGTGCACCACTGCCACCCTGTAGCAGTATTTCTGCTATAGGGCAGCAGGAAAGTGGTTAAAAGAAGTTTTCCATACATTAAAAAAAAACTATATACACTGGCATTTTTCCCCCAAATGACATGCAGCGTCCTGGTTATGGATATTGTACGTTTTTTATTGTTTGGAAAACATTTTTTTAATTACAATTTTTATGTCAAATGTATCAATAAAATTATGGGGCCCAAATTCGCAGGGCATGTGAAATGCCATGTATCTCTATGATAGCCGTTCCAATTGACACCTCTGAAGTCGCCACGACTTCAGAAAAGGTACTTGCACTATATTGATCCAACTTTGATTCGGCTTCAGTGCCAGAGAGTGTAAAAGACATATCAAAGTAACTTGAAGGCCGTATTAAAGTCAGACTCTAAAATTGCTCTGAAAATCAGGCTAAAGTAGGCTGATGTGAACAAGGCATTATAGGTACGGATGCAAATACAACATTGCAGGTTGAAACTTTCATTTTATCTCATAAGGAAAATGAATAGATTCACATTAAAAATAATTTGATATTTAAGTTATCCACTTGTTTCCAGGAAGAGTAAAGATGGAACAAAAGTCCTAAAATGTACTAGATTCATGTCACCCTACCAAAGGATACTTTAAAGGTTAGGTCCACCTCTGGAACATGTCACATATTCCGCCTGTTTTTAGGGGGGAACATGCAGCATGTGCTAGCATCTGCTTCCTCTCCCCAACCCCCCCTCCCAATGACAGAGGGCAGGGGATCTTCTCCCTGCACCTGCTGTCACAATTTGAAAACAGTAGAGCCACGTGGAGCTCCACCCACACATCTGTGAATTGATGGACTACAAATAACATCAGCAATTGCAGTTTGCAGCTTGTAGTTCTCAATGAACAATGCAGGTGCTGGGGAGTACTCCCGTAGTCCATTGATCTTCCTGCTCTCAGGTAACTGCCTGTCCATACGAGGTACAAGCAGACGGATATCCTGAGAGTCTGCAGGAGCCTGAGATTGCACCCACAATCTGCTGATCGAAGGTGCAATGCTCTGCAGTGCCCCCCCCTCTCTCCCCCCCTTCTCTCTCTCTCTCTCCTCTATCTCCTCTCTCTCTCTCTCCCCCCCCCCCACTATCTCCTCTCTGTCTCCCCCCTCTCTCCCCCCCCTCTCCCTCGCTCTCTCCTCCTCTCCCCAACCCCCCCTCTCTCTCTCTCCTCCCCCCACTCTCTCCTTTCTCTCCCCCCCCCTCTCTCTCCTTCTCCTCTGTCTCTCTCATCTCCTCCCCCTCACCAGACTGCTAGTTTGTGAGCTTCCCTCTCTTGCCTACATGGTGACATCTACCTGTTGGTTGATTTAGGACTACTCATGTGTCTACAAACCTCTCATTGCTGTCTCATGCTGTGCATTCATGAACCTTTCCTGGGAAGCTTTATCATCCTTCATATTTGCATTTCTTTTGATTCAGATTGTGAACTTTTCTCCCTTTGGTGTAATATACTCCTTTGTTCATGTTCATGGATGCTGGATCATTGCACTCTATCCCAAAAACTTCAGTAAATTCTGTGTGAAACAAAAGTTGAACCTATCCTTTAAAGATTCTCACTTTTGCTTATCGAAACTATAGCCCTGATTTACTATAGGGGTGGTGGATAACCACTGGGAATGTGCCCTGATAGTAAGCAAACATTTCTAAATGTACCAGTACAGAGGATGTGTGTGGAATATTTCTGTTTGATGTGAAATGGTGCTCAGAATTTTTGTAAATAGAGGAGTATCTTGCGCATGCTGTTTTCAGGAATGTCTTTTAAATGGATTGATTTTGATATATGAACTTCTCCCTCATTGGCAGAATATAGTACACTCCATGACTGGTGGACAGTTCATCAAGTTACCTTAGCTTGTCATGTGACTGGGCTTTTCTTTAAAAACCACTTGCCGATCGCAGATAGCTGAATGACGTCATAGGACATCCTCCCAGAACGCACTCTCCCACATGCCCCCAGGGGCCCGCACCCGGCGATCTCGGTGATCCTCCGTGAGGTAGTAAAAGGCAAATCACAACAACCTTTTACCACGTGATCAGCTGTTTCCAATGACACTGCAGATCACTGGTAAATGCTATTGCCAGTTATCGGCTGCACTTTCCTCACGCTGTCACAACATGAGGAAAGTACTGCCGATAACCGGCAATTGTCAGAGGAGGGATCGATGATGATCAGTGCCCTGATGATCGGTGCCCAGCAGTGCCACCCACCAGTGCTGCCCATCTGTGCCCAGCAGTGCCGCCTACAAGTGCCCAGCAGTGCCACCCACCTGTGCGCAGCAGTGCCACCCACCTGTGCACAGCAGTGCCACCCATCAGTGCCCAGCAGTGCTGCCAGTCAGTGCCCAGCAGTGTTGTCAGTCAGTGCCAGCAGTCAGCGCCACCCATCAGTGCCGCTTATCAGTGCCCATCAGCGCTGCCTATCAGTGCCCATCATTGTTACATATCAGTGCCAGCTCATCAGTGCCGCCTATCAGTGCTGCCTATCAGTGCTCATCAGTGCCACCTATCAGTGCCCATCATTGTTTCATTTCAGTGCCAGCTCATCAGTGCCACCTATCAGTGCCACCTATCAGAGCCCATCAGTGCCTGTCAGTGCTGTCTATCAGTACCTGTCAGTGCTGCTTATCAGTGCCCATCAACGCACATCAGTGAAGGAGAAAAATAACCTGTTTGCAAAATTTTATAATAGAAACAAAGAAAAAAAAATGTAAAAAATGTTTTTGCTCTTTCTTTGTTTATAGCGTTCTGTTAAAAAAAAAAAACACCCAGTGGCAAGTACATACCACCAAAAGAAATCTCTATTTGTGTGAAAAAAATGATAAACATTTCAAATGGGTGCAGTGTTGCATGATTGCGTAATTGTCAGTTAAAGTAATGGAGCGCCATATTGCAAAAAATGAAAGCTGAAAATTGGCCTGGGCAGGAGGGGGGTATAAGTGCCTGGTAGGCAAGTGGTTTAGTAGGGAATAGTAAACATTTCTGGCACATCCTTTTTCAAATTAATTGAACTTGAATGTCATTGAAGTTTATGGAACCTAATTTGATCAGTGAGGTCACATCACCTAGGATGCCCTCACTGTATTTACATTTTTGCAGCTCTGGGAATCTGTAATTAAGTGGTGGGAGTGCGGTAGATAAAGATTGACGGACAGCAGGTTGTCTGGATTAATGTGGATGACATCACTGGACGATGTGATTTACAATGGATTACAATGGTGGACATTAATAAAAACAGTTTCTGTTTTTTATGTATGTGTTTTCTTTTAATTAAAGGTGTGGGGGGGGGGGGGGCACAGGCTTGCTGCCTTTCATTTCCTGGCTAAGGGTCTGGTTTGCATTGTAAGAGGACCCCCACACTGCTTTTTTCCCATTTTTTTTAAATTAAATGCCACTACTTACCGCCAAAGCCAAAGGCGACTACTCTGTCCTCCTCCTCCTGGACCTCTCCGCGGCCTTCGACACAGTTGACCACCCCCTCCTCCTTAATAAACTATTCTCCCTTGGCGTCAGAGACACCGCTCTCTCCTGGTTCTCCTCTTACCTATCCCGACGCTCCTTCAGCGTTTCCTACAATGGTGCCACCTCCCCTTCCCTCCCCCTCTCTGTTGGGGTCCCCCAGGGCTCTGTCCTTGGACCCCTTCTCTTCTCCATCTACACCTCCTCCCTTGGCAAACTCATACACTCCCACGGCTTCAACTACCATCTCTATGCAGATGACACTCAAATTTACCTCTCCACCCCTCACCTCACCTCACTTTCTCCGCCCGCATCACTCACCTCCTAAACGACATCTCTGACTGGATGTCGCTCCATTTCCTCAAACTCAACCTCTCCAAAACCGAGCTTCTCGTCTTCCTCCTGCCCGCGCCCCCCCCCCCCCCATCCTATCCATCACTACTAACATCACCACCATCAATCCCGCCCCGCAAGCCAAAGTCCTTGGGGTCATTCTGGACTCTAACCTCTCCTTCCAACCTCATGTCAAATCACTGACAAACACATGCAGGCTCCACCTCCGCAATATCGCCAAAATACGCACCTTCCTTACCCCAGACACCGCTAAACTACTTGTGCACTCCCTGATTATCTCACGCCTTGACTACTGCAACTCCCTCCTCACCGGCCTACCCCAGTGCAAACTCTCCCCGCTTCAGACCATCCTGAACTCAGCTGCCAGACTCATCCACCTCACCAGCCGCTCCACCTCTGCCACCCCCCTCTGCCTCTCCCTCCACTGGCTCCCTATCGCCCAACGCATCAAATTCAAACTACTCACTCTGACCTACAAAGCCATTCACAACACTGCCCCTAACTACCTCACCGACCTGATTCCCAAGTACCACCCTACCCGTACCCTTCGCTCTTCACAGGACCTCCTTCTATCTTGCTCCCTGGTCTCCTCCTCACACGCACGTCTGCAAGACTTCTCCAGGTCCTCCCCCATCCTCTGGAACTCACTACCCCAATCCATCAGACTGTCACCTTCCCTCCTCACCTTCAGGCGCTCCCTGAAAACCCACCTCTTCAGGGAAGCCTACCCCACCCTCACCTAACTGCTGCTGCTCTCCTTCATTCCTCCTACCACTCCATCCCCCACAGCCACTTCCTCCTGTACCACTACCCCCTCCCTCCCAGACTGTAAGCTCGAAAGAGTAGGGCCCTCTTACCCCTCGTGTGCTGTTCGTAGCTGCTGTAATGTTTCATGTATTGTCCCCCCCTCTATTGTACAGCGCTGAGCAAACCCTTTGGCGCTATATAAACTCAATGTAATGTAATGTAATGTAAATGAAAGAACTGCATCATATTGTTTCTTTACTACTTTCTTTACTACTTTCCTCCCAGCCTATAGCAGACGCAATCTGTCAACAGCTAAGACACAGCCGTTGACTGATCAGTGTAGTGGCCCATGGCTGGTACCATGTGATCACTGTAACCAATCACAGCAGATCACATGACAATTTTAAACAATGAATGGCTTCAATTCATGCCATTCATTATGTACACTTGTGTTGCTAGCTGTGATTGGTACAGTGATCATATGGTACAGACAGGGCCAATCACAGCCCACCTGTACCATGAGATTAGCTGTGGCCAATCACAGCTAATTACAACAAAAAAACACTGAATGAAACAATTTCATTCAGTACAATGCTTGCTTATAACAGTGAAAAAAAAAACCTTTGAAAAGCCTTATTATAGCAGTGTTCAGCTGCAGCCTAGGGATGTCTGATTAGAACCAAGAGCCAGGTGAGCTGCTTCTAGTCTTCGTCTCTTTGAATGGGAAAACAAAAACAGACATTTAATTGCTTGCAACTGTCAGCATTGCAATGCCTAATGGGTCTTGCAGCAAAAGCTGGAGAGCCACAGGTTGGACACCCATTTAAACATATTATAGGAGCACATTTCAACCCTTCCTCCCAAAAAACTGCCTTTACATGGACATGAATGGGCTGGATCTAGGAGAATGTTGCGGTGGGCTGTGGCCCCCAGATTTTTTGTCTTGCACCCCCAAGACCAGTGGCCTCAGCAGGATGGACCCTATAATGAAGCACTAAAGCCCAGTCCACCCATTACGGTGTACATAGCCAGAAGGATAAAATGAAAGTGCTTTCGCCCCCAGATCAAACAGGCTATATCCACCCTGTCCCAAACGTGATGCTGGTATGTGTGAATAGGCAATCACAAATAAATAAGCATCCATTCTACTAGGCGACAAGTTACTTTCTGCTTTCTTGTAATTATGATGAAAAGGCTTTGACGTTTTTAATAATTTTTACACAAATATTCTCTTTATTATTTTTAACACAAAACCCAAAAATTAACTTTACCAACAAGCCAGCTGTAGAGCATTTCCACTATAAAGCTTTACAAAGAAGGAGGTGCCATGCTATGAGTCTGGGTAACCTGAACACACACTCATAATTCTCTGTCTGGCATTACAGACTAGTTGGACACTGAGTGAGTGGTAATGCTTGCAGTTAATGACACCCAGGGGCGGACTGACCATTTGGGAACTCGGGCACTGCCCGAGAGCCTGGGGTTAGTAGGGGCCCCATGAGATGCCTCTGGTACCTTTCATAGGCTTTTTTGGGTGTGGTTTGAGCGAGGACACAGGGGCCCCATGATCCCCTATTGCCCGGGGACTCCATGAGTTGTCAGTCCACCCCTGATGACACCCAATACATTTTGGAAGCCATCTCACTCATGTAAGCCATCGTGATATCCCTACAATCACAATCTATCTTTGGAAAGAGGAAGTTTTGGAGCACAAGGCCAACAATAGTATAAATTACCTGAATAAACACCCTTGTTTGAACCTTTGTTTGAATTGGTCCACATAATGTTCCAGATAACTTTGAAGCCCAAAATATAAAGCCCATAAGGATGTACAGGAGCATAAAAGCTTTTCCTCTTAGCATGTATCTTGTAATTTCACATGGTATCCAAACATGTTCATTAGACAAAGACACAAGGTTGGCATACTCAAGGAATAGGAGGATTTTGTAAACTTGCAGCACTGGTTACTGCTAAACCTATTATGGCATTCACTAAAATTCAGCATTGTGAGTTATGTGTGTGCTTGTCCATGGAGTTCATTATATCACCTCTCTGCCAAGGTAGTGTGAAAGCAAGGTATATGCATAGTCCTTTGCAGCAGTAGTGCAGGACTGTTTGGGTTTTTCAGCTCCAAAATACAATGTATTTAATTAAAACCTGCTTCCATTGTTTTATTTGCACAGCATTACACAATTTTCCTTATGAATAGTGTGTGGTTATTTAATTTACCATATCTATAAACCTAGCTGCACAAATTGTTACCCTAATAAACCATTGAACAAACATGGCTAATTAACACACAGTTACAGTACAGACATTAATTAATCTCAGATCTTTAACAAATCAACTAATCAGCATGGGCCCTATAAAAGGCACTAAACCACAACCTTACTGCACTTCTGAGCTTTACATCAGAAATACAAAACTTCCCCCTACTCCCAGTCTTTTGGGACATGTGACAGAACCCAGAAGACTGTGGCCACCCGGCTGTGAAGCCGCAAGCTATCACAGCCAGGTGCCCACAGTTGAGGTGCCGGAGCTAATGATATATATACTGTTTATACATACATACAGTTGTGTTCAAAATAATAGCAGTGTGTTGAAAAAAGTGAATAAAGCTCAAAATCCTTCTGATAGCTTTTATTTCCATACACACAAATGCATTGGGAACACTACACATTTTATTCCAAATCAAAACATGAAGAAAAATATATCAAATTTGTGTTGCTCCTCTAAAAAAAATTGAAGAAAAGTAAATATTAGACTGTTCAAAAAAAATAGCAGTGTTTGTATTCTTCTTTACAAACTCAAACATTCACTATATAAACTGAAAAATGTTTGAAGA